GATCACAATAGCACTCCAGCTAAAAAGGAACCTCTAACATCACAACTGGAAGAGCATAAAAAACTTATCAACTGATCCTGAGTGTGGAGATGGAAACTGCAGCCACTCATTGAAGAGCAAGCCTAGGAAATCAGTAAAGAATATGATTATGGGAGTCTGGCAAATTCCTGGAACAGTATCATTATCTCTCTACTAACTTTGATATTCAACATGGCATAGAGGTGACCAAAGTCTAGGTTTCTGGAACAGTAAAAATCTGTTATCTCCTATCAAAGTGAGAAGGCTTAATGTATGAGTTAAGCAATGGGATACATTTCTAGACTTGTCATCCAAAGAGTTGTTTCACTATATTTTATGGTGCTCATTACTGGGAGGTTGTCTACAGGGCAATTTTTATATACATATATACACATTTACATATATATATATATGTATATATACATATACACACATATGCATATATACATACACATACATACACACACACACACACACACACACACACACATATATATACATATATATGAAGAGAGAGAGAAACAGAGAGAGAGAGAGAGATCTATCTACCTATCTATCTGGCCTCAACACTCACAAGCTGTGCTAAGGCATGGAGGCTTTGTGATCTGCATCAGTGGGAGCCAAAATTGCATATGAAGTCAAGGATTCTTGTAGTTGAATTATTGTCATTTTCAGTGAGATTACTTAAACATCAAAGTCCCAAGGAGTCAATGAGAGTGATTGAATACGAATATACCTTTTAAATTTCCCAGGTCATGTGAATTCTCTGAAGCTAAATAAAGAAAAGATTTAAATCCACTTTGAAAAACAATCTGAGGAGGAAATGTCTGGCATATATTTTAGTGATTATGTAGCTGTCTTATGAATTGATTTTCCATAGGTCTAACTCCTTGCAAGGATGGTGTAGAATTTATGTACATGTTATGATTCCACAATCTGATTATTATAGCTTAGGGCAGATATTTTTCAGTCATTGAAACATGTCTGAAATTCTGTCAATAGGAAAATATGATATGGTATACATATATAAATACATAGTTTGAAATATGAACAATAATATGTCTGACTGATAAAGTATCAGTATATCATGTATCTATCTATCTTAGCGGATATAAAAAGTTGTTCAAAAAATCATTGAGGAGGGGAAATCTCTAATTCTAAGCCTTATTCTTTTGCTTGCCTCTGCTGATATAGTCATCCCCAGAGTATGTCATTTCCAACATTTTTGTGGGGTGTGTGTGTATTTGTATTTACCAAACTTCATCAAAATCACTTCTAGTTATTTTTTTCTCATAACATTCTAGCTCAACAAATGCTCTGCCTCCAGGCAGCTGAAGTGATTGAGGTACAAGAAAACTCCTAAATTTTAGTGAAAATAAATAGCAAGGTGGGGGCAATGTTGAAAGTAAGCATTCAAATATTCTCTTAAACATTCCTTCAGGGAATGAAATTGTTTACATATCAAGACATTTTTATATTTCCAATATATGGTGAATTCTTCAATACTAAAACAAAGGAGAATTTAATTTACTTTACAAAATAGTATTAGGAGAAAAAAAGGTACTTGTTTTATATGATGAGAAATATATAAAGTCATTATGACTTCCCCAAAACTTTTTGAGATGATTTCTCTAGGGATAAACTAAACCAAAGCAGATGATTAAAGTGTACTTTTGAATGAGCTGCCTGCACTTCGGCAATTTTTTTTTTCTTAAAAAAAAAAGTCAGAACAAAAGAACATATCCTTTAAAAAACAAATCTTATGCTTTTTATTGTTTAAATGAATTAATGCTGGGATATATTATTAAAATATTTTTCCAGGATACCATATATGAAGAGAGGTAATAATAGTAATTTAGGAGTAATTGTGGTATAATAGTAATTTAGGAGATTGAATTGTCAGGCCTTTGACACCATTGGCTCCAAATCACTTCAACTTTGTATCCCCAAGAAATTATCTCAGAATGTTGCAGAATAGATTGGCAGAGGGAGTTTCTTCTAAAGGAAGCTCCCTCCACTGATGTAAACAAAACAAACTAAAGTCCATAAATGAAAGATTAATGTGAACATTTTTTGCAAGTTAAAGAGTTTCTCAAATGTTCTGCTATAATGTGCTGATTATTGCTCTCTTGAGAAATGGAGGGAAAATTTTTCTTTCTTTTTTTTTTTTGGCAACATGGCCTATTATGGAAATATGTTTTGTATGATTTCACACATATAATTGATATCACATTGCTTGCTTTCTCACTGGGTGGCAGTGGGGCAGGAAGGAGGGACAGAATTTGTTAACTCAAACAAAAAGAATGTTAAAAATAAATAATATATTTATTAAAAAAAAGAAATGTAGGGGGAAAATACACAAATCTTCATTCATTATTACTGAGTAACATTTCTTTCCTTGTGTGAAAGGTATTCTATAGAATAGGATTCATGGCTGTGGTTCCCTAACTTTAGGGAGCAATTTGCCTTTAGTACTGTGGAATTTCCCAGTTCTCTCCCTTGAGCCCTATAAGAAGTATGGCAGAAAGTTGTTTTTTTTTTTTTTTTCCTGTTAATAGTCCAGTTGGTTTGATAGTTTCATAATAAATTTTGAGATAATTTGAAATATGCAGCCTGGGTGTTGTGAAAGTAGGACTAGAAATCACAGATATTTGGTCACATAACTAAGGTCTTTATTCAATTAAAAAAAAAAATCCTGTCAGAGAATTCTATGGGCAAGCTATTTCTGGTTGTTTAGCTACACTTTTTTTTTTCCTGTCTGAGTGTAGGGTATTTAGGGCAAAGAGGTGAGAAAAGTCTCTGTGGAGAGTAGATATAAAAGGCATCAACTCTCCAGAGTTTTTTCAGCACAGAACAAGGACAAACCTTACACACACTTTGGGCTTGGCAGGAAGCTGTGGTTCCTGATGGTCAGTGAGAGGAGCACAGTCTATGGATTGGTTCTCTTTAAATGTAGGCTATCTCTAAGCCTTAGACCTCATATGAGAAACAGGGTACAGTGGAAAGAGACTGAACTGGAGTCAGGAGACAAGGCACATTCTAGTCCTGACTGCCACAAGCTAGCTATATGACCTTCTAAAAGTCACTTCCCCTTTCTTGGCCTCACTGTCATCATTTGAAAAAAAAAATAGGGAAATTGGCTAAACAAGCTTCAAGGTTCCATTCCCCCTAATATTCTATGTTTGTCCACGAGTTAAAATACAATAAAGCATACTTGTGGTAGAGTACAAAATATTTCTCAATCTCATGTTTTCTCCCTAGTGTATACCTGTACTCAGCAGCTTTATAAAGCCTGGCCACCCAAATTAAGAATGAATTAAATCTCTCTTTTTTACTTTAATATTTTTTTCAATTATATATAAAATAATTTTTAACATTCATTTTTAAAAATTTTAAGTTCCAAATTCTCTTCCTCTCTCTTTCTTCCTCCCTCTTGCTTGAATTAGTAAGCAATTTTGATGTAGGTTATTCATCTGCAATCATGCAAAACTTATTTCCATATTTCCATAGTCACGTTGTGAAAGAAGACTCAAACAAAAAAAATCCCACAAAAAAGGGAAAAATGGTATGCTTCAATCTGCATTCAGACTTCATCAGTTCTTTCTCAGGATGTGGATAATATGAAGTCTCTTTTTGTGCCTATTTACGTCAGTCAACAAGCATTTATCAAAGGCCTCCTATGTTTCAGACAATGTGCTAAGCATCCCTCCTCTCAAAAAGCTTACAGTCTAGTGGAGAGGACAATATGCAAATAACTATGTACATGCCAGCTACATATAAGATAAATTGGAGATAATCAACCATGGGAAGACACTAGAATTAAGTGAGAATCCAAAAACCCTTCTTTTAGAAGATGAGATTTTAGTTGGGACTTGAGAGAAGCCGGGAGGTGGAGAAGAAGAGGGAGAGAATTCTAGGCATGGGGGATAGCCAGTGAAAATATACAAAGTTGGGAAATGGAATGTCTTGTCTATGGAATGGCAAGGAAGCCAGTCTCACTTGATCACAAAGAATAAGGTATAAGAAGCCTGGAAAGGTAGGAAGAATTTTGAATGTTAAATAGAGGATTTCATATTAGATCCTGGAATATTTGATTACATCTTTATGTTGTCCCAAATAATAGAATGAGGCACTTAGGAATATTGGTGGTGGTTGTTGTTTTTGATTGTGCATAAGATTTCCCTGGTGTGTAAGAGAGCTCCTTTTACCTATGCAGATCCTTAACTTCTACAGTGTTAAATCTTGGAGAGTTTTGGGGGGCACCAAGTCATTAAATGTCTTGTCCAATGTCACACAGTCAGTATGTATCAAAGCAGGACATGAGCCCATGTCTTCTTGATGAATATGCCAGTGCTGTGCCCCCCAAAACACATTGCTTTACTAGGAAGACTATTTAGTAACCAAAAAATAAAGCCCTATGTGGCAATCCTACATTTGAGTGAGTTTCCCTTTGGTTTTTATACTTTTAAGAAGGGTTCTAGGGATCAACTATAACTTCAAGCCTGCCCTGGAGTGGATTTATCCTGTGTTGGGAGGAATGAAGTTTGTTTGTTTGGTTTTTATTCTGGCTACAAGGCCTAGGATTAGCCAAAGTGGGTGGGAATGTAAAAGTCTTAGGTGAGAGTTGAACCATGATTTTATTACCCTTTGGACTCTGCAATTGCTGTTGTGCCCTAATATGCCTTCTTCAAGATTTAAGTAAGGAAGTTGGGAAATTACTCTGCCCATTTTGCTTGAAAAGTATAATGGTTATAAAATGTCTTCCTCCCTGCCTCCAATAGTGAGTTTATTGCCATCTCTGGAGGCCTTGTGGCAGACAGCTGATGGAGGCTCTTCCATGTGACAGATAGCTGATCAATGTCTTCAGGGATGAGGGCTCTTCCATGTGACAGATAGTTGATCAAGGTCTTCAGAGATGGGGCCCTTTTCCTTGGGCTCTTCCATATGGTTAATGGCTGAGCTGGACCTTTGGGGATGGGGGCTCACTTCTCCAGGGGTACATAGTTCAGAAGTTTCTCTGTTAGGTCCATGTGGGCCAGCAGCATCTGACAGCAGCAGTAGTGCTTCAGGCCCAGTGTGTCCAGGGCATCCACTTCGGTGTGCTCCATCTGCAGCAGGCCCAGGTAGGCCTCCTGGTTGTTGCCCATGATCTTGCCGCATGTGAAGCAGCTCACTGGGATGATCATGGCGAGGGTGAGGAGGCAGCAGCACCTGAGGCGGGTACATGCCTAGACTTCCATCCTTGTCTACCCCAGCTCTGGCCTTGCCGTCCTGCTCCCTTTTGGAAGTTTAAAGAATCAGACAAAGAAATCATTGTGTAATTCTGTTTTTAAATAGCTAGCCTCTTTAAGTAACTTGCACCACTGTCATTCTGCACCTAATCAAGCCATTATTTCACAATGGGGATAAAAGTGTACAGCTGAGTATATTATATTAAGTACGACTTGTGTTTAATATATGATATTTGGTTCAATATTGTCAAGTGGTAGCAGGAAGATAACTTACTGAATGAGGCAGCTTGTTTATAGTGAAATGCTAGGTCTAGAATCTGAAGATACCTGGTTTTGAATCCCCCTCTGACACTTGCTGTCTGACTATGGAGAAGTCAGCTAACTTCTTTGAGCCTCAGTTTCCCTACTTATAAAGTATGGATTTAAAGTACCTGTAGCACCAAACTCAGCAGTTTATTGGAAGGTTCAGATAAGCTAAAATGAAGTCAAAGTGAGAAAAAGCCTATTTCTACCTCTCTTTGAGGTCAGGCTTCCCCAGAACTGAACCCAGATCAGTTAGAACACAGTCAAGGCCTTTTCTGGAAGGAGGCCCTTCTGGGGCACTATGTAAACCTTAAAGTTTATGTATCAGCTATTATCTTGGTTAATTACTGGTAAGCTTGGGACATAACTGCAACACATTTAACAAGAAGCAAGATAAAGAGATTGTAACTTTGCAGCTCCAGTACAAATATACTTCAGCGGCTACTGAAAGCAGATCTTTTTGATCTTAGTTTGGTGAGATGTGACTCCAATGATACTCTGTTTCTGGGCCCCTAGTTTGGTTAATTAATCTGAAACTCCTTAGTGGCTTCCTACTGTTTCTAGGAAAAAAATGCAAACTGCGTTGGCTAGTATTTACAGGCCTTTCAAGGACAAAAAAAAAAAAGTAAATTGTCCCAGCTGTCATTGGACTTCTTTGAGAATGAAGAACAACAACACAGACCTTTCCCCAACTGGCCCAGATTGATTTAATATTACCCAGTGCAGTTTTCCTAATGTCCATTCTGACCATGTCATCCCTTGTACTCAAACTCCAGTAGCTTCCTATGACCTCCAGGACCAAATTGAAAACCTTTTGTTTGTCCTTTAAAGCCCATCATTATCTTGCCCCTTCCTTTCTTTCTAGCCTTCTACTTCATAGCTGTCCTTTACTGCTTTGACTCTGGCCTCCTTGCTCTATCTCAAACAAGACACTCTATCGTCTTTCTCCATGCATTTTGATTGGCTGTGAATCATGCTTAGAGTTGTCTCCCACTTCCTCTACCTCCTGGCTTAATCCTACAAATCTTCCTTCAGATACCACCTTATTCAAGAACCCTTTTCCTGACTCTGGCAATGCTAGTGCCTTTCTTAAGATTAACTCATATTTACCTTGTATTTATCTTGTATGTGTATAAATGCCTGCATGTGGTCCCTCTCATTAGAATATGAGTTTCTTAAGGGTAGGGATTGTTTCTGCCTTTCTTTCTATCTCCAGTGTTTAGCACAGTGCTTAGCACATAGTAAACATTTAATAAATGTTTATTGATTGACTGACCAAATCTGTAAGAGGATACATACAAGGTAAAAATGTCACTAAGTAATGCCAGAAAACTGAAATATTTAAATCTTCTTCTTTTTCATCCCTAACTCTCCCGGTATATGGTATGTAAGAGTTCAGGCAGGAACAAGAAACCTCATAAGCTTATTTTGAGACCCTGCTAGCTGCTGCCCCAGTTGTTTTGAAACAGCTCTCTGGCATAAGGGAGTCCCTCCTGGGAGGACAAAGGGTTGCCCTATTGATCTTTGCTTTCTACAACTGGACTCATAGTGCCCTATTTCCCAAATGTAGCTGTGACCGTCAATAGGTTAAGTCCTTGTCTGGGTACCCAGTTTATGTCTAAGGAAAGGCCTGTGGATGTTTGGAGAAAAAACCTTCATGTAAAACAGTGGGAATCAGTTCAGTGCAAAGCTTTATTGTAAGCAATGGGGAAGAGGAGAGAGGGGAGACATAAAAAGGAGTACCAACATACATCTCAGGCATAGACACTAACATAAAGTAAAACTCATACAAAACCTGTACTGCAGCGGGGAACACAGAGAAATGGGTCCATTCAGCAGGAAGTGAGTGCTCCAGCAAGAAGGTTTGCTCATCTGGAGGGGAAGGTGTGCTCCAAAGTGTTACTCTGAGAGTGGGGTTTTTATATTTTGATTTTGGATGGCCTCTCTGGAGCTGGCTGAATTGTGTGTCAGGGGTCAGTGCAAAATACTGTGGAGAGTTTGTTATCAGGAAGAAAAACCAAGCTGGTGGTAGACAAAATATTATTTGGGCTCATAGCTGTACCAACCTTCGAAAAATGTCAGTTTTTTCCCCATGAATATGTTCTATAAGCTTACAGTCATAATGACTTCAAAACCACCAGGCCTAATCTTATAATAATGGTTTCCATGCAAAAGATTCTATAAGGTCCAGCCTCCCTTAAGGGGAAATTGTCATGGTGATCCAAAGACCATCAGGCCCAATCTCATAATACTTGTGTTTTCAGCATCCAAGTGTAGGCCTTCCCTTGCTCTTTCTCTCCTTCCGTTCTTGGTGGGTTTTTTTTTTTTGTTTGTTTGTTTGTTTTTGTTTTTTGGTGAGGCAATTGGGGTTAAGTGACTTGCCCAGGGTCACATAGCTAGTGAGTGTTAGGTGTCTGGGGCTGGATTTGAACTCAGTTCCTCTTGAATCCAGGGCCAGTGTTCTATCCACTGCGCCACCTAGCTGCCCCTCTCCTTCCATTCTTACTCCCTTTCCTCACTCTGTAAGAGGCAGATGATATTGATTATGCAAAGCCATGTGAAAGAAATGGAGCATTGTAGGGGGCGTAAGACACTTCTGTGTAGTATAGCTTCAGCTAGGAGGGAAAAGACTTTTATGCCTAAGTGAAAGTAGACTAAACCCTGGCTCAGGTCAAACCTGCCTACATTGAATTTACTCTGTACAGGGGACCAGCTGGTCCCCTACTCCATAACTCAAGGAGGATGAAGATGGGGTTCTAAATAATAAAGGAAAGTCTAGAGGTCAAAAGGTGATGAGGGAATCCAGGTATAAACTACTAGGAATAGAAAAATAAAGCTGAAAGAAAAACATTCAAGGGAGAAAAGCTAAGCAGTCTAATAGTGACAGTTAAAACAGAAGAAAAAAATAAATGTTTTTTAAAAAGTTCAAAGGGCTACTTGGAGCAATTATTATATTACAAAAGAAAATGAATAAAAATCCTCCAGTGAAAAAAAATTATGTAAACCCTTCAAAGTCTGTTAAAAGAAGATTATTAGTTGAGAAATCAGAACTCTTAATGCAATATTAAGGAAGACAAATTAGAAATATACTAGAAAAATTAGAATACAATGATAAATCTGTCCAAATTGATAGAGACTATGAAAGAGACGGAATGATGGCTTTGGAACTCAGAAAACATAAAAGAAGAATTTTTGACAGAAGAACAAGAAACAGCTTTAAAAGGACATATGAATTCCATACAAGCAGAAGTAATTGACATTTAAGAAAAGATAAACAGATTTAATTTAAAGATCACAGCTTTTTAAAAAATCTGACCGCTGAAATGCAAGAAATAATATAAGAAAATTGCACAGAACTTTCAATTATAGACAAGGTATTGATGGATTAAATTCATAAATTGCTACCAAAGAAAGGCCCAGGCCTTGAAACTTTAAGGCTTCAAGTTTCATAATTTCAGTACCATAAAGGAGTTTTGCAAGTAGCCAGGGAAAAGGTATAATCACGAGGCATGCATTTTTGCCCATAGTCAATATAGGAATTTGTTTTACTTGTTTATCCATATTGGTTATGAGAATTTTTTTTTCATTTGGGGATATGTGAGAGGGAGAAAAAAATTTTTGTTGAAGTAATTTCTGACTCTTTGTGACCCCATTTGGGGTTTTTCTTGGCAGAGATACTGGAGTGGTTTGCTATTTCCTTATCCAGCTCATTTTACAAATGAGGAACTGAAGCCAACAGGGTTAAGTGACCTGCCCAGGGTCACACAGCTAGTAAGACTGGATTTGAATTCATGAACATGAGTCTTACTGATTCTAAGCCCAGTGCTCTATCCACTGTACTACCCAGCTGCTCTGTAAATTCTGATTAATGAAAAAAGAAAAATATAAGCAAAAAGTTACATTAAAAAGTCAATAAAAAGAAATAAATGAAGGAAAACACAATCTAACAATCAAATCTTTAAATGTAAATGGATAAACCAATCCAATAAAGTAAGAGAATGACAGAATTGATAAGAAAAATAAAACCCACCAATTTACTATATATATGACATATACTTTATAAATGAAGGCACATGCAGGTTGAAAATGAGAGACTGGAACAAAATTTAATATACATGAGGTGAATGTTAAAAAGGAGTTTCAATCATAGTATTGATGGGGTGCTTGGGTGTCTGTGCTTGGATCCCAATTTCTCCCTGGCCTCAGAAACTATTCCTGACAGTTTCCCTCCAGCCCAAGGACCCCATCTTTGGCAGTGACTCATGAGTGGGCCCAGTGAGGTAAATTATCTCTCCCTGTTATAAGAACAAGCTGACTTCTATAGAATTTCCCTTGTACGACCTTATACCAGCAGAACTATCAAGTACTGATGCCCACAGTTACCGTATAAAATCCAGAGATCAAGCTATAGATATCAACTCCCAAAACTATCTTGTTACAGACATAACAGATCAAAAACACACCCCTTAGGAAACCTCCCCTCCTTGGTTTCCAGTAGTGAATGATGTAGTTGTATATTATCACCTAATTAGCATACTTGGAACATAATGCATTACTTTTCCTATGTAAGCTTTAGCATCATTCCTATTAGGTTGCAAGTTCCATAAGGAGCTCTGCTCACCATGGCAGGTTTGTTGAGAATCCTTGCCTGC